ATCACTGAACTATGTACCTAGAGATACAATAATCACTTATCCCATTGCCAATTAAATCCCAATACAACAGTGGTATCACATCTATAATTCATAAACGAGACCACAGCAAACTGCATTTTAATAACACTGTCAGTTCCACGGTAATATCAAAAATGAATCACACCCAGGAGGACTGCAAAGATTTTCTACACAGATACAGATGAGCATTCTCATTAATGCAGATTGGTAGTTTCAGTGAAAGGTTTTATGTAGACGAGAGTAAATATTCACCATCTATCAACAGAAAGTGATTTCAGTGACATGCCAGACAATTTGGCTCACCTGGAATTCCTCCTAGGAGTTCCCAGGCTGTGCACACCAGTGTTACTGCTGGCTCAGTCTTACTGTACTTGCTGTCAAGAATCTGCCCCAACCCTGTGATGGGGATGCTCCTTGTTGCATTGAACTTGTATAGGACATGGTCAGTCCAGCCTTTAGTGTTTTGGAAACATCCAGTGGGATTTTGGCAATTGTCACTGCATGAGGAAAGTTCCAGGTACAGTATATTTCAGAACAGATAGACAGATATCATTTTCAGAGGTTACTGCTTGGTATTTTCAGTGCACCAAAATAAGCCAGTAGGAAGTTTAAAAGGAATAGATGTGTTGTTCCACCTATATTGATGACGTCCAGGTGTGGGGCAACATGAGAAACATGATATTATGAAAAGTTCTGATTGCGGTAAGGAACATGAGTGTGAAATATAACGAAGAAATGTACCATAAAAATAGCACTAGTGAGTCCACCCCAGTCTCATGGATGGACTTAGAGAAGTGAGCTCCATCAGGCTGCTGAAACACGGGTGTAAATGGAATATTGTGATGCTGGTGAGTACATCAGGAAATTCTCTGCAGGCGAGAATGGGAAAGACAAGGCCACAGACATGAGCAAGTGCAGCTGGTGTGAGATGCATTGATGCAAGGGTAGACTGTTCTCTTTCTATATGAAAGAAGCACATTCTTAAATTCAAAGTTGGAGGATCATTACTTTCAAACACATAAAACGGTTCTATACACGGATTTTTTGTAGCAAAGCCTCCTAATTCCAGTCATTACACTTAACAAATCAATTTCTATTTTGTACACGATAAAAATTGCAGAACTGTGTTTTAAACACCAAATCTTCATGATCATATGGGCATCGATAATGGGATTAGACCAAGTTTGACATACAATAATACACCTCTACCCCAATATAACGCAACCTGATATAACAAGAATTCGAATATAATGCGGTAAAGCAGTGCTCCGGGGGGCGGGGCTGCGCACTCCAGTGGATCAAAGCAAGTTCGATATAATGCAGTTTCACCTATAACGCAGTAAGATTTTCTGGCTCCCGAGGACAACGTTATATCGGGCTAGAGGTGTAGTTAAATAAATAGGCAGATCTGTTGATAATTTGATACTGACAAATGGTAAACCCACACCCATATTTAATTACATTACTTTAAAGGGACACTTAAATGGTTTAGGTCCCATATTTGATATAAATTAACAGTGATGTAATCAGGTGGCAAATATTATCTAGATTATAACTATTTTTTCTGTTTTTTTAAAAAATCCAACAATTGACCACCTGTAGAACACAACAGCCAACATTTTGGTAAGGCAAATAAAACCTCTGGACAAAATTTTCTTAAATCCATATTTAGGCTCCTAAATAAAAATAGTTTGATTTTAAGAAGTGCTTAACTCCCACAGCTCAAGTCAATGGGATCTGCATGTGCTTAGAACCATTGAAAATCCAGTTATTTAAACAGCTAAATAAAAAGCATGTATTAGGCATACATGTATTAGGCATGCATGTTTGAAAATTTTGGCCTACAAGTATACATAGTTTAAGTGCTGCAAAAAGGCAGCAAAAGCAAACAAACACTAGTCCCAGAGCTGTGAATATTTTTCTCAGTAAGGCTGACACAACAGCAAGGAAAACAAATATGTTGATATAATCTCCTTTAGAAGACTAGCAAAGAGAGAGGTCACTTTTCACCAAAACAAAATATGCAGGGCAAGAATTATTATTTTCAAACGTCTCTGAAGGTATCATAAGCAATGCAAAAGCAAGAAGGAAAAAGAATCCTGCAGTAGATCTGGGCACTTAAAAAAGATTAAAGAAAAATAAACACAGAAGTCAATCTAGATGGCAAAGCCTAATGAGGAGGGACTCACTCGGAGATAAACAAGACTCAGTCTTTTCGTTTTGTAGTACAAAGGAAGACCCATACATTATTCGAATTTAAAAAGCCTCTGAAATGAATTAAATTGACTTGAAAAGGCTTGATTTTGCTCTTGGGTATATGTAAAAGCAGTAGCTGATTTTAAAAGATGCACAGGGACCCTTGCTAGAATACTGGAAAGGGAATACAAAAAAAATAGATACCTTCCATTTCCCAAGGGACACATCTTCCAGAATTTGAGTAGATTTGGCCTTCACTACAAAGTTTGGGTTAGTATTTGGATCTGAACCCACTTAGAGCTGACAGACTTTTGGACACTGTGAACTTTTGGAGTTCAGCTTACAGGATAGAACTTCAGTCAAAAATTTTAATATCATCACCTATATTCCAGGGTGCAGACAAGTATATTCTCCATTTGTTACCAACTAGACTGGCCTCCAATGCTTGCATTGCTTCTGGAATAATGTGGGGAAAAGCTTTGGGAGGTTGTATGGTAAAAGACAAGAGATCTGAAAGGAGTATACTTAGGCACTGTATAAATAAGAACCAAGAAATCCAGTTGCAGGAAGCCAAGATTATGAAATAGATTTAGCTGCACCAGAGAAGCTCCTGGCCAGTGCATGTGCTTTCTGTCTCGCGTAAAGGATCCAGCCTAACTATTTAATTGTAATTAAGGTTTCTATTTATGATACACTGTGACAAACAGTATTATTTTTATTAGTATGATGCATGCCTCTGTGTGTTTATGATGGGTTACTTACTATGGAGTTAGATCAAGAGGAGTTGTTAGAGAAACTGAGCAGAAGATGTAAAACAATGGTCTAAATAAGGAACATCCCAGCAAAAATTCAAGCACAACAGCCAGGTTCAAAGCTTTGAAGAGGCAACTCCTCTGCCAAACCTGGAAACACAGCTGTTATGCCAAGGCTGAGAACAGAGAAATCAAAGGGAACAATACAACATTAGAAAACCTCAAAGACCTTAGAAAAAGGAGGGGGTCTGGGTGAGCTGCAAGGGACTTCCCAGGGTGTCAGTGAAAAGATGACAGGTTGGCAATCACAGAGACAGAGGGAGGTTAGCTGCAAGGGCAAAGAGGGACCCTCCTAACTAAACAAGGATCAACGATCAAGTCAGGCAAGAGTTATACAATTTGGCTTTGATTTACTTTCTTGACCCAGCGTGCCTAAATACCATACTCCTGTTTTCTAATTAATAATGGCTTGTTTTGAAAAGGTTGTCCTGTGTCACTGAAAACATCTGCTGGTTGCATACCTCCCAAGAAGAAAAGTCTCCCACGGGGTTCCAAGCTACTTTGGATCTGCTGAAAAAGCCACAGTGAGACACAGCGGTGCTGAAGCCACAAACCCAATCTCAAAGTAGCAGAATCACGGCCCTTCCTTGAGAAAAGTGGAAGCCCAGGGCTTATCACCAAGAGAGAGACCTCCAGAAAAACTGTTTAAAGACCAGAGGCAGATCCTGCCCTGTGGATCTGTGACAATAATATTATAACAATATTCTCCCATTGTTCGATAAATATAGAGGTGAATGGAAAAAATAATCATGGGTGAAATCAAAACGTTTACTTTTAAAGAAAGAAATATTTAACCCATGACAGCATTTGATATCTCATCAATTTTATTCTTATTATAATATAAAAGATACATTATGTACATTCTGTCCTATGGTCTCATGTATGCTAGTTCAGGAATAACAACTGTTCAATGCCAGCATAAAAAGCTGCATCATTGGCTTTGAAAAGAGGCTTATTTTTCATAAGAATCAAGCGGGAAAAACAGTTGAGAAAAATCTATGAGAGTGCAGATCTTTTGTTGCAGTTGCTGTTTAAGTCCCTTGAATTTTTGTTTAAACTTTGATTAAGCATCAGAAATCCTGAAACTTGACTGGCTGAAACGTTTCACCTGTCACAAGACCATATAACAATAGCTTTTCATAGTGTTTTACTCATGTGTGTAACATTAAATTTGAAGCTCATTTCCACAGAAGCAGCTGCAAAACTTGGAAAGTCTCTCCTCTGGGAAGATGCACCATTGTTCCATGTTTAACAGGTGGAAGGACACTCTTTTGGGTCAGAGCATAGAACAAGGACTCAGAAAATCTGGGCTTTTACCCGATCTGCCACACAGATGTCTTGTTTCAGATCCTGGACAAGTCATTTGGGACGTGTTTGCACAAGCTTCTGAGCACCCTCAAGTCCCAGGGCACTCGGCACCTCGTGAAATCAGAGCATTACTTACTCTGTATTTTAGTTCCCCCATCAGTAAAATTGGTCTAATATTTGACTTGTAAAGTTTAATTCTTAGTCCAAAATTTTCAAAAGTAGCCACTGCCTTAGCTGTGCCCAACTGGAGACATCTTGGGCCTGATTTTCAAGCGTGCTGAGCATCCACAGCTTCTGCTAACTTCAGATGCAGTTGTGAGTCTCCAGCACTTCTGAAAGTCAGGCCCCAGGAAGCCCGAGCAGTGCACCAAAAAAAGAGTAACCTAGAGTCAGTGATCACTGTCAGAAACATTGACCTTCGAGTTTGATGCATTTATCTTTTAATTGAAGGCACAATATGTAAGCACAAATTGTTACATTAAAACTTCATAAATGGATTAATTAGCAGGACATGTTTATGGTACTTTGCTACCAATTTTTTTTAAAAGGCAATATAGGAGATAGTACTTCTAAACTGGTGACATCCCCACAGAAATTAAAAAAAGCAACTAACAACAATCTACACTCATCTACATCGCTGTGTTTTAGAGATGCATTCTACCTTACCTTGACATGGTGAATAAGATGTTCTACTTCATTCACTTTATACGTCTCTATTCCTAGCTCCTTAGACAACCGCAGGATGCGATTTTGTGTCGGCCCCACATATGCTCCTCCAAGGTCCACATACTGGACTTGCTTATTCTGGTTTCCCAAAAGACAAAAGAAGAAAGATAAGCCCTTTGCAATCAATCATGAGATAAACAATGTAATCCAGAGAAACTATTTATGTTAATTGAGTATTTGAGGCCAGATTCCCCACCCCTGCCCCGGAGAAAACCTGCAAGAGGAAGCCACAGAGGTGAAAACTCTGCATTGGTTCTCTTTAGAGACATTTCTCCAGAGCATCTCTCCAAGGGCAGTTTTTGCTACATATATAATCATTCATCTTTTCCTTCCATGGAACAGGTGGGAGGGGAGGTGTGATAACCCCAGAACCTGCAAATATCCTGGAAAATTCTGTGTCACCACAGACACTCCATACTTTTTCTTGCCCCTGGTTCAGCACTGTCAAGGACTTCCCTACATGCCACAGCCCTGGAATTCTACCCTCATGAGGGGTTCTTCAGTATGCGGGAGGCTCTGCTCAAAAAATAAGTGCAATAATTTAGATACTATTTGTGGAGATAATTACCCTTTCAGTGAAAGTTCTTCCTCCAACTCTGTCACGGGCTTCCAACACCACAACACTCAGCCCTGATTCAGTCAGCAACTTGGCTGCCGACAGACCTAAAGGACAAATGAGAAACAACACTGAACAACTCCACACAGTGGATTCTGTAGCCTGCGTGGCTTCTAGACAGTCAGTAGTCAGCACCCCCAGACATTTAGTAAGAGGTGTCATGAATTTTGACTATAAAGAGCTTGTAAGGGGGGAAAAGAATCCCCAAAGGCAACTAAAGGTAAATATAAAACAAGATAGTGGTCACATTTTCACATGTGCCAAGCACCTTCAGCTCCCAGTGGCGTCAACTGGGGTAGAGTGAGTTTAGCCCTTCTGTAAGGCAGCCCTAGCTGGGTAACAATGAGAGAAACAGTCATATTGTTGTACACAGAACACACATACACATGCAGTTCTCTGCGGGGGGGGGGGGGGTATTTTATTTTCTAATTCTGTTCTCTAATTTCTGCAAGTGTTGTCTTTTCTTTAAAACCCACCAGGTAAAATGGACGGAATCAAGTTTATATTAGGCCTGTCCTCATTTTGAATGATTTGGTCAAGCCTGCTCTAAGCTGCCTCCTTTCCAAGCTAAAGCATTTTAGAGTCCATTCATGTTTAGAAGAAGTCAGAAGGCAGGTTCCCTGCCCTTAAGAGCTTATACTTTAACTAAAAACTAAACAGAACTAGTGAGTGTGGCAAATAGTAGGAGGGAAATGGAGGGTGAGTAACCAAGAGAACATGGTTCCATTCCTTGCCTCTCTGCATTATATACAACCACTTCATTCTCTTCCTTCCTGCCTGGACACCAGCAGGGACAGCATTGAGAGCACAGGAGAGACGGTCTCCTTGTACTCAGATTTGGTGCCCTGCAGCCAGGAGGAGAAACTGCAGGGAAAGCCAGATTCAGTCTCTGCAGCCCTGGGTTGCAGCATGCCCAGTCTCTCTGTGGCAATGGCATATGCACAGTCCGGCTGGCATACAGGAGTAGCTGTGAGGGAGAAGCATGCTCAACGCAAACAGAATCTTCAGAGAATTTAGTTGCCAAACTTTAACAAGTCTCTGCTCACCACGTAAAAACAGATTTTTCCGAGGCTCGTAACTTGGTCATATATGGGTAAATTTTCATGGGGGCAGCAAAAGGCACATCCCTAACAGGGTAACTCCCCTGCCAATAAGAAGTGTCAGGCAACTTTAAGTATAGGTGATGTTGGTAGCTGGAGCTGATGACAATTCATTCTCTCTCATTATCAGCTCGTAATTTCCCATAGTTGCCGTTACAGCTTTCAGGGTTAACTGCACCTTTGACTCCCACACATCTGGTATTTCTTGAGGGCACCCATTTAAAGTTTCAGGGTCCAAGCCATCACTTCTCTCAGGTGGAGACCTGCATCTCTCTCCCTCCAGACCAGGGGTTTAGGCTTGCAGTCCCTCTGCAACTCATTGTGAATTCCCCAGCAGGCCTGACTGAGAACCAGCACATGTGGTTAACCTATCTCCAGGGTTTCAACAGTGAATACCTTTACACAGTAACATCAAAAGAGTGTTACTGGAACTCTAGAGACCTGGGTCCTACTCGCAGCTCAGCCATTGGTCTGTGGTGTAACCTTGGGCAAGTCACTTCCCCTTTGTGACTCAGTTTCCTCATCTGTAAAATGGCAATAATAATACTGAGCTCCTTTGTAAAGCACTTTGAGACCTACTGATGAAAAGCGTGATAGAAGATCTCGGAATTATCTTTACACAACAGTGTTTACTTCCAGCCACAGTGGAGTAGCTTCTGAAGCAGGGGTGGGCGAACTACGGCCCAGGGGCTGCATCTGGCCCTTCAGACATTTTAGTCCGGCCCTTGAGCACCCGCCAGGGAGCAGGGTCCGGGGCTTGCCCCGCTCCGTGCGTACCATGGCTCAGTGCAGCTCCTGGAAGCAGCAGCATGTCCCACCTCTGGCTCCTACATGTAGAGGCAGCCAAGGGGCTCTGCACACTGCCCCTGCCCCAAGTACCACCCCCGCAGCTCCCATTGGCTGGGAACCACAGCCAATGGGAGCTGCAGGGGCAGCGTCTGTGGACGGGGCAGCATGCAGATTTGCTTGGCTGCGCCTCCATGTAGGAGCCGGAGGGGGGGACATGCCGCTGCTTCTGCCCTGCCCGGAGCCTGCACCCCGACCCCCTCCCATGCCCCAACCCCCTTCCCCAGCCCTGATCCCCCTCCTGCCCTCCAAACCCCTTGGTCCCAGCCCAGAGCATCCTCCTGCACCCCAAACCCTCATCCTCAGAGCCTGCACCCCGAGCTGGAACCCTCACTCCCCCTCTCACCCCAACCCTGTGCCCCAACCCAAAGCCCCTTCCCGCACACTGAACTCCTCATTTCTGGACCCACCACAAAGCCCTCACCCCCTCCCGCATCCCAACCCCCAATTTCATGAGCATTCATGGCCCGCCATACAATTTCCATACCCAGATATGGCCCTCGGGCCAAAAATTTTGCCCACCCCATTCTGAAGGTTACCTCAACTTTTCACTTCAGCATACCAATAAGTACAGCAAGCTTTCAAATAACCCTGATACAATGGGCTCTTCATACCCCATAACAGAGCAAATGAGAGTCTGCCAAATGCAGTTAAAACCTGACCTTTCCCATAAAAGGAGCAGACTATAAGGCAGGAACAGCATATTTTGAGAGTAAAAAATATTCAGTATGTTCAAATGCTTGCCAGAGCGTCAAACACTTTCCATTCAGAGATTGTTTTACTGTCTAAAAATCCTTCTGGAAACAGATTGGAGCGCTGAAAAATGCAGTGTCCATCATAACAGACCATTATTAAATCTGCCAAAGCAAGAGTCAATGATATTATTAATCATTTATATTACAATAGCACCCAAAAGCTCCAATTAGGAATGGGGCTTAATCCGCTTATCATGCTGATGTACTGTCAGTATTGTCTGTTGTTGCCTTCTGCTCTCTCCCCATCTACTTGTTGTATCCACCCTGTTGTCTCTCATCTCATACATAGATTCTAAGCAATTTGGGGCAGGAATCATCTTTTTGTCCTGTGTTTGTACAGCACTTAGCACAACACGACCCAAATCCATGATGGGGGCCTCTAGATGCCACTGTAATAAATAATAACACTGGTCTACAATTTTTGAGAAGTCGTCTGCTTCAGAGATAAAATGTGCTATTTATTATGTATTTTGATGTGCTGAATTCAAATATGACAATTAAAACAACTGATTGGCTACTGTTTCTAAGATATTTAAGTTTTTACATTTTATGTCTATGTATATTGTGTAGATAGTAGAGTTTTAATCATAAATTGTAAACCTAGGTCTTTTCATGTGTTTATGATTGCTTTACATGATAATATTTCACCTGTCCTGTTTATGTAACACTTTAAAAATCAGCAAAAGAGTTATATAAATAAAATTTATTATGAAACAAAAGGCAAAAAACTATTATGTACATAGTTTAGTCCTATTCAGTGTCTACTCGGCGCTGCTTGGCTTGTCTCTTGTATTCATTAAATGGATCATCTCTTGTCACTGTCCAGCAATAGTCTGCAAGCATTGATGGGCTCCATTTGCCCTGATAGCATTTCTCCATTGTTGCAATGTCCTGGTGAAATGGCTCGCCGTGCTCGTCGCTCACTGCGCTGCAATTCGGTGGAAAAAAATCTAGATGAGAGTGCAAAAAATGTATCTTTAGTGACATGTTGCAACCAAGGCTTTTGTATGCCTTGAGGAGGTTTTCCACCAACAACCTGTAGTTGTCTGCCTTGTTGTTTCCGAGAAAATTTATTGCCACTAACTGGAAGGCTTTCCATGCCATCTTTTCCTTGCCACGCAGGGCATGGTCAAATGCATCATCTCGAAGAAGTTCACGAATCTGAGGACCAACAAAGACACCTTCCTTTATCTTAGCTTCACTTAACCTTGGAAATTTTCCACGGAGCTACTTGAAAGCTGCTTGTGTTTTGTCAATGGCCTTGACAAAGTTCTTCATCAGACCCAGCTTGATGTGTAAGGGTGGTAACAAAATCTTCCTTGATTCAACAAGTGGTGGATGCTGAACACTTTTCCTCCCAGGCTCCAATGACTGTCGGAGTGGCCAATCTTTCTTGATGTAGTGGGAATCTCTTGCACGACTATCCCATTCGCAGAGAAAACAGCAAACTTTGTGTATCCAGTCTGCAGACCAAGCAAGAGAGCAACAACCTTCAAATCGCCACAAAGCTGCCACTGATGTTGGTCATAGTTTATGCACCTCAAAAGTTGTTTCATGTTGTCATAGGTTTCCTTCATATGGACTGCATGACCAACTGGAATTGATGGCAAAACATTGCCATTATGCAGTAAAACTGCTTTAAGACTCGTCTTCGATGAATCAATGAACAGTCTCCACTCATCTGGATCATGAACGATGTTGAGGGCTGCCATCACACCATCGATGTTGTTGCAGGCTACAAGATCACCTTCCATGAAGAAGAATGGGACAAGATCCTTTTGACGGTCATGGAACATGGAAACCCTAACATCACCTGCCAGGAGATTCCACTGCTGTAGTCTGGAGCCCAACAGCTCTGCCTTACTCTTGGGTAGTTCCAAATCCCTGACAAGGTCATTCAGTTCACCTTGTGTTATGAGGTGTGGTTCAGAGGAGGAGGATGGGAGAAAATGTGGGTCCTGTGACATTGATGGTTCAGGACCAGAAGTTTCATCCTCTTCCTCGTCTGACTCCAGTGAGAATGATTCTGGTGCATCAGGAACCGGTAGTCCTTCTCCGTGGGGTACTGGGCGTATAGCTGATGGAATGTTTGGATAATGCACAGTCCACTTTTTCTTCTTTGACACACCTTTCCCAACTGGAGGCACCATGCAGAAGTAACAATTGCTGGTATGATCTGTTGGCTCTCTCCAAATCATTGGCACTGCAAAAGGCATAGATTTCCTTTTCCTGTTCAACCACTGGCGAAGATTTGTTGCACAAGTGTTGCAGCATATGTGTGGGGCCCACCTCTTGTCCTGATCTCCAGTTTTGCAGCCAAAATAAAGGTGATAGGCTTTCTTAACCATAGTGGTTATACTGCGCTTTTGTGATGCAAAAGTCACTTAACCACAAACATAGCAGAAGTTATCTGCACTGTTCACACAAGTACGAGGCATCTCTGCTCACTTTGGCTAAACAGAAATGTGTCCCTTTGCAAAATCAAACACTGACAAATAAGAGAGCATGACACTCTATGATTTCTAGAGCTGATATAGGGCAATTTGTTCAGCAGAGTGATGTAAGCTTCGTTATGATTGCATCATCCATGACTTCTATGAATAACATGATGCAATTCATATCATGCATGATGCAATACCAGCTTCAGATTGCATCATTCATTGTTTTGCCTAAAAAGCAAGTACTGTCCAAACCCAGTCATAGATTTATTCATAGATCCAGTCAAAGATGTATTTTAGTCATTTCTGGTTTAAATTGAGATCCCTTCCCTTTATAACTCACTTATCCTCCGCCATTCCCAAGTCAAGGGTCGTATATACTGACCCAATAGCATATCTTGAAAACTAGAGCCAATCAAAAATTTTAAGCATCATTTTCATTCTCAGTGACCCAGAATTAGTAAAGTTTGACTACATTTATTTCAGAAACATTTTGGCTGTAGAGCAGTGTAATTATACCTAGATCTTATATATTACTTTTCATTAATAGATTTCAAAGCACTTTACAAAAGAAGATAAATATAATTACCCAGATTTTATTAATAATGATAATGCTGAATGAAGAGACAATTCCTTGCCCAGAAAACTTAGAACCTAAATGATACATTTATAGCCAAAGGGTTGGGGACAATGATATAACTTAGAAATAAATTAACATAGTGATGACTGGCACCATTTTGTTAGCTACATTTTGCGGGGGATGGGAGAAAGCTGTTTAAAAATGTAGTAAGAGTTGCAATGGGAAAAGCATACAAATGGTAACCCTGTTTCTGGACCAAATTCAGAATTATACCTTTTGTGTGGACTCAGAGGTTATTTTTTAAACTCCTATGAACAGAATAAGCAAGTATTGACTCCATAAAGCAAAGTCCAGGAAAAAATCTCTTCCGTGGTATGAAATCTTGTCAGGTGTTCAGAACTGTACACATTTCAGCACAGCTGCTGGTTTACCTGTCTCTTTTTCTTGGATTGCAAACAGAATGCAATCCCTTTAACTTTGCCTAAGATTTTAGAGTTTAGACAAACAGATCAACATAAAGGAATGTGTCTAAAAATATGATTACTGCCCTTATCATTCAGATTTCTTCTGCAGGATATTTTTTATCACAATGGTATTTTTTCCAGAGAGATTTCTACACACACTGATTGCTATGTAAGGAACAGTGAAATTTTCACCTAAGAAAGAAAAAAAGCACCAGCTATCTTTTGTCACCAGTTCAGAGGACAATAATTTAGTACAGCTTCCATTACAGACTTGCTTACTTCAAAAGAAAAGAGAGTTATATCTACATCTAATTCACATAATGAAAAAGACATACTGAGTGCTGTCATGGCAATGCAGTAGCCTTAACTCTGATTCCTCCATGAGAATCAATACCTAGAAAATTAATACAAACAATAAAGAAGCAAAGAGGACAGGTCTTATCTGAAGCCTCAGACTGAGGATACAGTTGTGCTTAGAACAGGTTAAACAAGGCAAAAGCAGCAAGCCTTCAGAAGTTACTATGGCAACCTGATATCAAAATGCATCCACTTGAAGATACTGGGATGAGATTGTCTTCTAAGGGCTTTTATACTGTGAGTTCAAGCTATGGAAATTGTTTCTCCATCAGACAGTAATTTGCATTCAAGTGACTGTTTTACTGAAGCATCTTCAATCATAACAATTATTTCATATAAAATCCAAGCATATTTCAGTCCTTTTTGTTGTTGTTGGTGTACCTGCTGAACATCCTGGAACAGAGTTTTAAATAATAGAACTTCCCCACCAACATCCTCCTCCCAGCTTCCTTAAAATAAGAGAAAGAAGACTGATAAGTGAGACAACAAAAGCTGTGATCTTTTGTCAGTTGTTCAAAGCATAGAGATAGGCTCAGACTTTGTCCAAGTGCAGAATCCAAACTCAGATCTGATCCAAATTTTTCCACTGCCCCCCACTCTGTATTCTGAAGCTACATCTACACTACCCGCCTGAATCGGCGGGTAGAAATCGATCTCTCGGGGATCGAATTATCGCGTCTCGTCAGGACGTGACATTTGATCCCCGAATCGACGCTTGTACTCCACCAGCGGAGGTAGGAGTAAGCGCCGTCGACGGGGAGCCGCGGAGGTCGATTTGCCGCCGTCCTCACAGCGGGGTAAATCGGCTCCGATACGTCGAATTCAGCTACGCTATTCGCGTAGCTGAATTTGCGTATCTTAAATTGACACACACACACACACACACACACTGTAGTGAGGACGTAGCCTAAGATAAAAAGAAGCCCCAGAGCCAAGATGAAATTTGGGGTGTTCTAAAGTGGATCCCAATTTTAGAGCTCAGACCCCACTCTATCCAGAGCCAGTATACATTTCATTAGGATTGTAAAACTCTTTCAATTTTAAACCTTAGTATTTTGATGAGAATTGTATTGCAAAACACAGGATAAGTTGAACCTCCAGTACTTTCTAAATGATACTTACAGCATTTCCATATAATTTCTGTGTATTGAGAAAAGCCTATTGTTGTTCCTTGGATTGTTAAAGCTGCATACAACAGGTCAGTCATGACTTTCCTTCTCCCTCAAACTAAGCACAACAGCTCTGCAGCATACTAAGTCTCCAGTACTACCATTGTCTATGAAGGAGTAAATGGATCATTTTTTAAAAATCTCTCTTCAGGTTCATTTACCTCTTTCTGCAGAAAATCCCATGGAAATGGGTTCCTGGGAGAAGCAAACAAAAATATCTTCCTACAGGGACATTTTGACAAATAATTTGAAGAGGGGTCAACATGCACACATTCTTCCCCCACAGACCAAACAGTGGATTATCTCTTTAGAACCTGAGGATTATCAGGGCATCCACAGGAAAACAAGGCCACCTGCATGGAGCCCTTGTGTCCGTCAACATCAGCTCTTGGGTTACCAAGATTTCATTTGCCATAGCAGCCCACAAGATTGGTGAGTTCTGCAACATGGAGGAGGAGCATGGATTCTATTTTAAGCACTTTGATGGCCCCATTGTCATATTATCTGAGCATGGCACAAACTGTAATGTATTTATCCTCACAAATCCCTTGTGAGGTAAGGAAGTGTTAGTATCTCCATCTGTAAGATGGGGAACTGAGGCACACAGAGCCTAAGTGACTAGCCCACAGTCACAGGGCAGAAACTTGAACTCCCGTCTCCAGAGTCCCAGACTACTGCCTTAACCACTCGCCCATCCTTCTTCTCTGTTACTGGACAGACCTTTGAGGTTTGGGACATCAACCCCACAGTCCTTCCCTTGGCTCTCCTCTTCTTCCAACAGCACAAGAATTTCAGGAATATGATAATCTCCTCCCATTCCTTCCAGTAATACCCATACCCACAAGTTTTTAATGTGAGAGTTGTTTTCTCAACAGTCAATTCTTCCAGGTAAATGTGTGTTCTGGAATCAGTAATCTTTTCATGGTGTAAAGGCCATTTTCTATATACACACACACACACACCAGTAGCACCTAGAGGCCCCACCCAAGATCAAGACCCCATTGTGCTAGACACTACACAGAGACAGGCCCTCCCCTGAAGACTTTACAATCTAAACAGACAAAATGATGAAGGATTATTATCCCCATGTCACAGATGGGGAAGTAAAGCAAAGAAAGATTAAATGATTTGCCCTTCACCATGCAAAGTGTGCCTATTAGAGGTGGCAACTGAAGCCACATTTCTCAAATTCCAGTCCAATACCTTAGCCACAAGATCATCTTTCCCTTCTGTCTCTCTCAGACTATCTACTAAAGATTTAGCATTTTCATGGTCGTTAATTAATAGGAACACAGGAACTGCAAGACTGGATCAGACCAGTGGTCCATCTAATCCACTGTTCTGTCTCTGACCATGGCCAGTACAAGATGCTTCAGAGAAGAACCTTGCAAACAGACAGATGTAGGATAATCTGGCCCCCACATTAGGTCTCACCCTGGTCTCTAATATTTAGCGTTCCTGATCTATTTTCTTTATACCTTTCTTTATTTTTACCATGTCCTCTCATCAGTCTCCTTTCTAAGGTAAACAATCTCTAATGTCTGTAACTTGAAAATTATCAACAAATTCCTCAGTTTAATTCTTCTAGGACCTAAGTATTGCCGCCCCCGCCTCCTGCCACAGGGGTTGGGGGGAAATCTGCATCAAGAAGCTAGCCAGAGATTCCAGCCAGTAGGAGCAGAAGCAGCCAAAGCAGGAATCTCTGGAACTCTGGACATTTGGAGAACTTTCTACAGTTATGACTGGACTTTCTCAGCCCTTACTCCAACTCTCCCTCAAAGTCTCTTCAATTCAGCTTCACTCCACACATGCCCTTCTTTCCTTCTTGTCCCCTTCCCTGTCCCCTCACTCCTTTCCCTTCAGTGTCCCCTCTTCCTTCCCTTTAGCTGACCCAGTCCTAAGTAACCCAGTCCTAAGGGGTAGAACATATAAGCAGAGTGAACCCCCAAAAGTGTCATTGGCTGCCATCACAGAGTTCACTCTGCTTATATGTTCTACCCCTTCCCCCACCTTGTGTTATGTCTTGTCTATTTAGATTTGAAGCTCTTTGGGGCAGGAACTGTCTACTACTCTGAGTTTGTACAGTGCCTTGCACAATGGGATCCTGTTCTTGGTTGACCCTCAGGCACAACTGTAATAAACATGATTAATAAATAATAACCACAATAACAGGAGAAAGATTGAATGCCAGTCAATCAGATGTTCTAATTGCCTCATAAATAACTGCCAAAGGTAATAAACATCAAATGCATCTTTAACAACTTCCCTGGCCAATCTAAAATGGCATGTTGAGGGTGAGGAAACTGCACTGGTCATACTTGTCCTGTACTATTCCCTGAAACTACCGGGAGCTCATCATACATAGATGCATAAATCTCTGCAGTTGGATCTTCCTAGATCTTTTCCTTCCTTAAATAAAAGAGAAGTATGGATTTTAATGAATAAACAGCAAAGATTACAATTAAAAAAAAAATATCTAGGGATCCAGCCAAGAAAACCCTGACAGTTTTCCAAGGGCTAGCCCCGGTACTGTGCACACAAACATGTATTGATAACAGTAAAACCAAAAACCCATCATAATGTTTGTCAAGGTAAATTGAGGCAATCCTCTCAAAGGAGCTAATGCTTTCAAAATAGCTCACCCCAGATACCACTTCCACTGAGGCACAGGCTAGGTTCTAATGGTGAAAATGGTAACACCCATGCAGCAGAGCTACTCTATTTACCGCTGATCTCTGGGCAGGGGAACTCACTTAAAAGCATGACATTTTAAAATAATACATTTGGGGCTCTTTTTGTTTGCCTTGTAGTTTCTGAGCTGTAGCAGTCACATTTTCAAGTTATTTTCCACAGTCAAGAGGGCTAGAAATTTACTTTCTCTTTTCAAATGAAAGCTGACATTCCCACAAAATCAACTGACTTCAAGAGCTGAAGCTTTAAGAAAAAACATCACATATGAGACTTACTATAAAATTAGGAGTTGTCAGCATTGCTGGGGGAGTGGGAGGAGGGCACGTGGGGAAAGAAACTGCAATGAGGAATACACTTCTTCACCACAATAGTCATTATCTATTATCTATAATCTCTGATGCTCTACTTCTCAGTCTGGAGCTAACAGCAGACAACAAAGTGAATATATGCCATATGAATAAATTAATTTGATTAAAATTGAAGTTACAGAGCAAGAGGCAAGGTCGGGGTGGTGGGAAAAACAGTCATGGCTCCATGAATCAGGGGAACCAACCCTCTGTGCCAATTTCACAGGCTACAAAAACTAGCTCTGCTAATGGAAAATATGGTAGCTTTTGTTCAGACCACATTACTCTAAAATTAAAATGCAAAGCCTGTCTGGTTACACTTTTGGCTCCCTGACCTATTTTTTAGCACTTTCTTTAAAACACCCTCCAAGTTTAGTCTCAGCAGCATGATATATGGTGCAGCTCACTACAATATTGAAAACAACAGATCCTAGGGCAGAGAAATGGAGAGGACACACATCTTTTGTTCACAGCTAAGCAGCAATTCCCCATGTTTTGTTTTTCTTTGCAATCCCCTATATCATCTTTATTGCATTACTGTGCTAGAAACTGGTATTTAATAACATTGTTTTTATGTTGCTGACTGCTCTAATGAACACAATCTGATTACCACTCAGCAACTGAGAGATTAAACCTGGCACTGATCACCTTTACCTCTGTGCTCGCTCATTGTTAGTTAACAGAAATGTTTTCAAGGAAATAATGGCTTGTGACACCATCACCAGCAAGACATCATATATTAGTTTTTAAAGCCCTAACCTTGGCCCAGTTTCAATTTGATGGGAGAGGTGGGTTATGCGGGCATTTTTTAATTTTTATTGACTTTACTGAAAGGTTGAGGTTTTTTGCTCTTTCAAAGAACATTACAAGTGTGCATTACATTTTCAGTAGACACACTGTGATCTGTACGCAAGCAACAGCGATGGAGGAGAGTTAACTGGCCGAAAATCAGTTCACATGACAGTGATGTTGCTAAGGCAAATGAGGACATAATAGATAATCCCACCTTTTACCGCTGAAGAGAGAGGCTTGCATCTTGGGGATGTTTCAACATCCAAGTTGCTCCTGCATTTCTAGATGACAGTATTGCTCACAAGTGCAATCCCAAGGTACAGTCTCAGCCAGGATGCTATTCAGAACTTCTGTGATGTGCTACAGCATGGCCTGGATACTATGAGGCTGAGAAGCCATGCCCTATCTGATGCCATTTATTGAACTAACACATACATAATACATATGCTTTCAGGAAGAGGACAGTCCTTTCACCATGCCATTTTATATGATGGTTCAATTAAATAAAAGAGGGCCATGTTAGCTAGTTTGTTAGCCTTAATTCTTCAGGAAATCTGCATTATATTAAATACCTTAGCGGTTAGATACTACAGTCAGAGTCACCCGAGAAAATGTTAAGGCAGACAAACTTCTCTGCAGGAAATAGCTCTGTAGAAGTAGAGCAATACTTTTGGTCACTATAGTACATGCACCGAATGCAGTTTTGAATGCCATTAAAATGAATATCACTCTGTAACAGCGTGAGAGCTTCCAAGAAGTGACAGTTTCAGAAACGCTAAGGTGCAGAGACTGTCAATATGCTTGTTTGTTTCAAATATTTGTACAGGGATAAAAAATTTCTGCCTGGGATATGCAAGCACAATTTTTTTTTGTTGATATTTCACAGACTAGTGCATATACTGAGTCTGCTCCATAGCAGGCCTGATTCTATAACTTTCCCATTGACCTCAATGGGAGTACTTCTGTGAGTTAATATCGCTTAACATGAGACAGGTTTATAGAATCTGGCCCATAGTTATCAATGACCCTTCTCCTAGTACAATACTTTTATGCAATTCATGTACTGCACAGATGGCAGTATTGAAAAAAAAAAAAGATAACAACTGTCATTGAAATCATTCCAGCTGGATTTGTTCCAAGCAGGGTATCTGCTAGGTATTATGGAATCTGGACAGTTTTAAGCACAGCTATAGCATCTTAGGCCCCAATCTTGCAAATTGTGGCATGCAAGCAGTTCACTGCACCTGTGTGGAGCTCCATTAACTTCAGTGAGTCTCTACATGATGCAACTGTGTGCACATGTGCAGATCAGGGCCTTAGGGTGCAGTTTCATTCCAGTTACATGGGTACAATTCCCTTCAAAATCAAGGCGGTGGTAGCTGAGGGCAGAACTGGACCCTCTAGTTACTCTGGGAGTGCCCAACAGTGGAGTAAAGGATTCCTATTGGTTCCATTGTGTTTTCTATTTTCAGGTGCAAATTTTCAATTGCTAAAACTGGGCCTTCAAGGCTTCAGGAGAATATTTTTATTTTCAATTTTTTCAAACACGATCAGTTGTAGGTTCTACTGGGGTAAAAATAAAATCAACACCAATGGGGTTTAAATGCTCTCTATTTTGTTCTTATGAACAGAGCCCCAAGGATCTATTGGAGAAACAAGATACATTTGTATTGGTAGTAGTAGTAGTAGTACCTGAGGGCTCCAACCAGGACCCTGTATTGCTAGGCACCCTACCAGCACCTATTTAAAAAAGAGAGGCAATTCCTGCTCCTAATAGCTCACAATCTAGGTTGCATCAGAACAGAACAGGTGGATAAAACAAACAAATGAGAGGGTGGAGGGAAGAAAAGTGGCAGATGAGGTGTCAGTAAAGCAAGCATATTTTAGCACAATGAGCATTACATAAGAACATAAGGACGGCCATACTGGGTCAGACCAAAGGTCCATCTAGCCCAGTGTTGGTGTCATTAGGCATAACCCTAGGTAA